CCTTCTGCTTCTTTTAGAGACAGCACTCTCAGTTCTGTGTTCTGTAACCTCACTGCAGTTGGTACGACTGACTTTCTATAATTATTATATCTCTCAGTTTCTACAGCGCGTCACGAAGACAAGGAGGAAAAATGTCGTCCCCTAAGGTTGAAGCTGTGCTGAAGAACTGCTTCTCTACTTGTGGTGAGGGACCGCACTGGGACGTTGCCTCCCAGTCTCTCTACTATGTGGACATCGTGGCTGGTGGAGTGGGATGCTGGAACAGCGTCACGGGAGAAAAGAAGCAAGCCAAATTAGGTAGATTTGGGTTTTTTTTCAACTTCCATCTCTTGTATTGTGTTTCATTGTGCCCAATGGAAGAGTGCACGAGTGAAAAGAAACAAGTCAATTTAGGTTGATTTGGTTTTTGTTTTTGTTTTGTCATCTTCCATTAATGAAGAAAATAATATATAATAACTGCTCCAGATCAGTATGAATCTTTCCAACAGCATGGTGTGGAGGACTCTTCTGTATGGCTCTTTTCGTCTATGCAGACGGTCAGTTTAGCTCAAGATGGTCTCAAGGTTGTCTTCATGCAACTTCTTTCATGGTTAATTCTTCCTATGTTTGAAGAGCAGATTCTGTTGCAGTGCTTGCATGTCAGTGAGGTGGATCGAAGCTCTGTATTTCCACTGTTTTCCTCTGGTTGACGCTTCTCAGCCTGGTTGTTTCTAAGGCTGCTCTCTTGCATTATACATGTAGTTCTTTCCTTTATCATTTACCTCCTTGTTTTCCTGTCCTGAGCTATTTCTTCCCAGATGCTAACATCTACTCAAAGTTTAGAAATGCTGTTTTTGCAGATGTCTTTGTAACTCAATTTTGGTCTTCCACTTGGTCTCTTTCCCTAGGCAAGTTCTCCTTAGAGAAGTTGCTTTGGAATCTGGTTGTCGTCCATTCTCTTGACATGGCCCATCCATCTCAATCTTCTTAAACACAGGAAGTGCCAACACTTCAACATTTGTAACCTTGTCACGCCACTTATACAATAATATTAATGTGTGAAAATAAAAGGGTTTGTATACACTAATATGTGCTTCTCATATTTAGTAGCAGGCCTGCTAAGTGCATTCTAAACTACCAATGACGGCCACTCATTGTCGGAGAGAGGAGTTGTCGTCTTAGACAGATGGTTATTTTACACAGTGTCATTATAATATAAAACATACACATTGGAGGAAATGGGTAATGGCAGTTGGTACAGGCGGCAATTAGAGCAGGGTCGGCTGTACACAAATAAACTTGGAGCCACCATATTTTTTTTTTGGCCAATTGAAGAACCCTGATAGGACTTACATACGAGTACATTCCTGTTTTTTAAATTGAACTCCATTTCTATTTGTCGTACAAAACTTATCGTTAATGATTTGTAAATACACTGGTCTATTTGCAATATTTTTAGGACTTATTGTAATTAATGTGAAAAAAAATAAATTATTAGATAGTGACATGGTGGAGGGGGTAAGGGGGGTGGGGGGAGTTGGAACTGCAGTACTGTTTTTTAATGTGCCCCAGAAAGCAGAAACTATAAAACAAGATCAGTGTTTAAATAATGTGTATTAGTTAAAACTATAAAACAAGATTAACTTTAAAATGATGTGCATTAATAAAAACTATAAAACAAGATTAATGTTTAAATAATGTGTATTAATTAATTAATTCACAAATGTCAAGCATCCAATTCAGGTCAGTGAGCAGTCCAGGTGTGGGTGACCTGATTGCTGGGTCTGTCTGTGTTCTTACTGCAGGGAATGGTCCAGGTGCAAAGAGTACGATACAGTACTTCTTGTCCAGGTGTTGTTGTCAGACTTTGTCCTCAGGCTTTAAATGCTTTTTTCTATTATTTCTCTCTCTCTCTCTCTCTCTCTCTCTCTCTCT